TCACGTTTGACTGAAAACACAAGGTTTCATCACTCAAACAATGCAAACCAATGTAAGATCTTTACTTTGTACCAAGGCTCTGTACATGGGAAATATCTGCATTTTCGTACCTTTTTTCCTCTTTTTTTGGTGCCCTTTGTTGACTCACAATGGAGCAAAGAATAATGAAGGTTAGTTTACTATTGCGCTCATAAGATGAGCTTGTCTTTGGTGGGTTTTTTGACACCCAAGAAACAGTTTCTTCCTGTAAACAATTAGATTTGACTTTTGTCACAGTTTTACACAGAGCTAAGGTACAGACTTCTGCATCAATGCTCCCTCGGTGTTTTCCCACACTTCACTATATTAACAGCCACCCAAGTATACTTGGCAACTAATTTAAGCAGTTTCTTTGTATACAAAGGGAGAACAAATAAGTTTGAAAGTTCAGCTGCTGGTAAACAACTAGCCACGGTCTCACTGCACAGACATGCCTCTATGCCAAGCTCACCAAGATTGCAGAGCAAAACCGAGACTGTCGCCAGCTGTAGTACAAGACGGAGGAGTTGGAGAGACTCACTGGAGAGGCACCAGGTTACATTGCTATCTGTTACTTGACTGTCACAAAGAACGTGGCCAGTGTAACATTTGCAGAGTCCTTTCTGCTAGAAAAGAAATCTAAATCGGTGAAGAACGCCGCAACATCAATATTTCTTGAGAAATGGGGCTCTCGCCAAATATTTTCCCAGTTAACAGAGTTAATAAAGTTTTACATGTGGAGACTACAAAACTTTTGCAGGTCTTTGTCTCAGTTGAATTTTTTTCCACCTCCCCAAGAATCACCTCAGTATCATGTGATTTAAGGTGAAGGTTTAGGCATCATGAGCTTATGATGACAGCAGTAGCAGTGCAAGATCGGATCCTGCTTGTTATATTCTCGGCTGCTGCTACACTCAAACATGACCTATACTTCTTTAATAAGAGTAATATACTGCACAGTTGGTATAAGAATCATCAAGTTGAGCAGAGTGAAGCGTCTTTCATTGCTTTTCTTTGTGAGTGAGCTGAGGTGTCAGCTCTCACAGTGTGAGCCAAACACTGAGCTCCTGCTCTTGTGCAATCACTCTCTCCATGTAGCTCCAGGCTGCTCTCAGAGTCTCCTCAAGAAACAACAAATGAAATTTTTACCATCTCACGTCATAAACATGAAGCCACTTAAATACCTGCAGGGGTCGGATAGTCACTGACTCAACTCCAGGCTGATAGAAATAACCTTGTTCTTTGTTTGGGGGTGGGGTACTTCTCACTGTTAATTACTTTTTAGAGAAATCGCTTTATCTACAAAATGTCAGAAAACAGTGTCTCCATTTGTGTCTAAGTGTCCTAAAATATCAGTTCACTGTAATCTAAACAGCACGTTCTCTCATTAGAGAAGCTGGAAGCAGAGACTGCGTCACATTGTTGGTCGATAAGTAGTTTCCAAATAAACCACTTGTATTATTTACTGTTAGTCATAGATATTCACAAACTGGCAGTATTTAAATCCCTTTCTCACAGTGGGCTCAACTTAAGCCTGTATAATTTATAATATTTGTTGTAAGTCAGGCTGATGAAGTGAGTTTTGCTTTAAGTACCATAACTAACCAAGCTGTGTATTAAACGTTAGTGTCAAACGTTTGTGGTCACCTTCTTTGCAGTTTGCTGGTTATTTGTTGGTTTGCTGATCATTACACTGATTTGGGGACTTTTAAAGGGAGTCCGATTCTATGACTTTGCTCCCTTTCGAGAGCTTTTCAGCAGAATATTTCAGACAATAGAAAGTTTAGTTAGTATCAGTAAATGAAGGCATCGATAAATAGTCTGTATTTTAGGACTTTAGCATCAGTGTACCTAAAAAAATGCAAAGAAAAAGTTGCTTCATTAATATTTTGACACTAATTTTGGAAACTTGTGCAATGTGTCTGTGAGCTGAACAGCTATATTTTTCCACTACAAAGTAGGTTGGTGCTATAGGTTTTTACTTGCCTGTTTGTTAGAAGGATTACTCAAAAAGTCATGGATGGATTTCTTTCTTCTTCTTCAGAGGTGGGGTTTGGCCCAGCTTAGGGCAGATTAACTTTTGGACTTGTTCCAGATCTACACATTTTTGAAAGGTTCCTTTACTACTGAGAGATAAAGCAAATTTAATAAAGGGACAAATCAAACTGAAAAAACAAAAACAAAAAACTGGGACACATCATCTTGATGAGCTCAAGAAAATCTCATAAACTACCTCCAGATCCTTCTGGACTCGGTTCATGCATGGTGTGGAGGGGATTTTCAGCCTTGCACCGCTCTCCTCTTTCTTGTATTCTGTACTCTCTTATTATTCCAAACATCGGCTGTTGGGGAAATGCATCTAAAGGTCACGCTTATCGAATTTCTAAATCTACATCAAACTAAACTGTCAACAGATGTTCTTTTGCTAAACCCTCAAATGTCTCTTTCTTAAGTTTAGATACTAACACATCCCCGGCAATAACACAGCTTAGATATTATGAAAGCCTGGAATTATTTACAGGCAGGGAACATATAAAATATGTGTCAGATGAGTAAAAGAGAGCTGTTAACAACTTAAAAATTTGAAAGGAAAAAAGTTACAGCCATAACTGATGTGGAAACCATGTTTTTTCCATTACAACTGTGTCAATATTGTTCAAGAAGACTTTTGACCACTGTGCTGAGCCTGGCACCACTGGCTCAGTGTTTAAGACTGTCGCCTGACAGCAACAGGGTCCTGGGTTCAAACCAACCTGGGCAGGGCCTTTGAGTGGGCAGTATGCATGTTCTTCCTGTGGTTTTCTCTGGAAGCGCCAGTTTCTCCTGCCCTACTGCCATTGAAAAACATGTTAGGTTAATGCTGCCTGTGTGAGCCAGTAACACACCCACAAAACATGATTCTTAATATTAAAACCTCTTCCTGGTTAAAGGAATAAGATAACAGCGCAGTAAATAAGAACACCATGACCTTGATTTATTAATTTTCAACATTAAGTGGCAAAAATACTTGGTAAATGTAGTATCATCATCATTTTTGTCCACAACCTGCATGTTTTTGGTCATATTTGTTCATTTGTGTTTGCATTCTGCTTTTGCATATATTTACTTTTGAGCCACAGATGAAATAAGGTTTGATGATGATCATAGCGATACGGAAAACAAACGTACTGGGGTTTGCACTTCAAGGTCTGCTGCTGTGAGCCATAAGTTCATCCTTGTAACGTGAGCTGACTCAGTGCTGAACATGAAAATAAACCAAACATGATCCCACTGCAGGTGAAGAGGTCAGCAGCAGCACGCACACATGGACCTGCATGCAAATACACTGTACATGCAAAGCTTATAATAACACAGCAGACTACAAACTTTTACACCAAAGTTCTGTAGACGCACCTCTGCATGCAGGACTCTCACAATGCAACCGAAAGTCCTGCTCTCTGATTGGCAAATCCTATGTGTGCTCACTTGAAGCAGTTAACAAGCTGTTCTAAATTAAACGGCAACAGTACCTGTCTGCTGTCTGACTGGTGACATTAACTTACTGTAAACTGCAAACACATGCAATGTCTTTGCACACAAACATGATAATGAGCTCTCTCTTTACACGATAACAACATAACCACAGCAGTTCACAGTAAAATATACAGAAGACCTCATTTACTCCTGTATTTAAGCTCTGTGATTTATGCTCACTTTGGTGTAAATACCTGGCTTTGATTAACTTTTCACTTTGATGCTAAACCTGTTACACATTGTTCCTTTAAAAGGCTTCACAGCTTCTGCCATTAAAGGACTTTTCTAGTTCAGTAATGCATCTGCATATATATTATCAACAGAAATACAAACACAAACTAATGCACAGCGAGCTGTTCTGCACTTGTCTGCATCCTGCAATACTTTATTTCAGTCAACACAAATTGTGCATCCCCATCAACAGCCTATAGAACTTTACCATTTACTTCATCAAAGGGTAAGGAGTCGCTAACCGGTGCTGCAGGGAGGCTGGTGCCAAAAGGTTTTTGGTATTTTTTTCGCTATCATCAAGTCGTTTGCACCACTGGTTGGTATTTTGCATTAGACCAGTAACATATTTTAACCCTGGGGTCCCCTCACCCCTATAGAGTGTGCTAGTACAATTTATAAACATCTAGAACCAGATGAGGTCCAAACACGAATCTACAAGTGAGCCATGAAGTTGGTCAGTTTGTTTAAAAAAAGCTATCACTAAAGAACTCATCAGTCATCATCCAGGTTAAAACTCCTTCAGTCTGTGTGAAGCAACCTATTGTCAAATCATAGGGAATATTTGAAAACGCAACAACATAAAAAGATGTAATGAATAAGTATCTAACCAAATCAGAAGACAACAATCGAGCACCCCTACAGCGCATGATGTTAAACATAATCTGGAAGAGGGATGATTGTGAAACAGGACAGAACTATACTTCTATCACCTTCTCTTTTAGGGAAAAAACATTTCTATACCTTGAAACTTGAAACACATCATGACCAACTGAACTAAAACATCTAACCTTGTGGGCTTTTTCAATATCATACTTTTCATCTTCAAGTTTTACGTTAAACAGTTTAGTTTTGCCTTTATGTCCTAAAAGATTAATAGTAATTCACCGACTATTTTATTTCCTACACATTTTTCTACAGTATTCCCAGAATTTTCAAACTCTTCCTCTCTGTAAACCTAATCACACCTTTGTTTTCTGACATGTCTCTTGTTCGGACGGTAGGATTAGTAGGTCAATTAGTAAATATCTATTTGCAGCTGGTTGCATCATGTCTTGATTATTTTTCCTGCATCTTTCTCAATACAACAGAGATATGTCCCATCTCATCTAGGCCTCAATATAAAGAATCTGATTTCTGCCCTGTTACCATCATGCACTTTCATCATCACGAGTTTTCCCGCAGCGTGGATCCTCCGCTCTCAGTCCTTTCAAACCCACAGAAAGTGTCAGCTGTTTTACCTGTCCGCAGTTTCCCTCCGGGTCCACACCAGCAGCGAGCCTCTCTCCGCTTCGATTCGTTTTTCTCGGAGTGCAGTCCGGCTCCTCTTGAGTTTGTTGTCGGAGACAGACGTAGGAGCTCACAGGATCATGGTGGACAAAACTAACGGTGGCTTTACCTCCCGGATGCTTCACTTACGCGACTTTTTACTTTACTTCTTTTGCTCTTATTCTACTTTTAGCGCAGCAGTTTGTTGAAAGAAGAAGACATACACCAAGGAGAGAGGGACAGAAAAAAAGTTTCTGTGTATTTACATCACATCCCGTTTCCGAAGAGGCGGAGGAGGAGGAGGAGGAGGAGGAGGAAGGCAATGAGCCCCCTGAGTGTCTGACATCTGAGCCTGGAGGACATGCGCACAAGAGCCCTATGAAGGGGACTACGGAGGGAAGATAGGGCTTTTACATCAACGTGATGTAAAGTGCAACGTGTTATTATCATAGTACTTACACAGAGCTGCACTTTCAGCTGGTTGCTGTTGAATAGCGCCATATTTAGCGGCACAATGGCTACTAGATGTCGCTAAATATCCGAATTACGCTTAGTTCACTGTTCGGTCGCACATTAAAAACCTTACAGATCCATTCATTCGATTTATTGATTTTTAAACGCTTGAAAACAAATGAAGTTCAGCAACCAGTTAAAAAACTGCCTTAAATTACCACATGACATGCATTAGATTATAAGTACTTCATGGTTTTCTCCCCTAGTTACATTTACTTGAACATTGCTGGACTTACTGTTTGAAGAAAACATTTTAGTTTACACTAAATAAAGGATAATTAATAATTTAACAATTCTTACCTTACAAACGTTTACTTTTCTGTTCATTTGAATTTAATATTCAGACTGGTAGTTGCAAGACTTTTGCTGATAATCACCCCAATTTTAAACTTTCAAAAGTCTCAAATATGCTCTAATATTCTTGGAAGTCGTTCTTAATCAGGAGCATTTTACTAATGCACCTGGATTTTTGAAGTTAATATAAGCTATTAGCCCGATATTGAACGGTTTAGTGAAAGGGGACATACCATTGTTTACTTATTGTATTCAGTTGTTTTATAATTTTATTTATAGTTGCATCAACCGTGGAATGTGTGCTTTTTTTCAGTCTGACTGTTTTGGCTTTTATGGTCTTGTACTGCCTTCATGAGCTGAAACAGGGGATGTGCTGCATGGGATGTTCCCTTCAGGATACTGTGGGCTTTGCTGTTACAGAGCTCCTGTAAGGACAGGAGTGCACAGCCGAGGACCTTCTGTGCTGTGCTGATGATGACATAGCCCAGAAGACCATCGACTTTGATCATCATGGATCCTGTTTCCAGTTTAATGAGAAAGGTTGTTACTCTCAACTCAAATGCTGTGTGGTTTGAAAGCATTACAATGTCTGAAAAGAAATATCTAGACAGTCTCGTGAGAACAGCAAAGATCATTGTTGCCACCCTCTCTCCCATGCTGGAGATCTTTAACCACCACTACATCTGCAGGGCTTCCATCATCATCCAGGACACCCTCGTACCCTTATTAAAGCCTGTTTACCTTCCTACCATCAGGGATAAGATATAGAAGATGAACCAAAACCAAAAACCTTGCGGTTCCTCAACAGGTTCATACCTCAAGCTGTGAAGCTGTGAGAATCTTGACCGTTCTTGCCCCCCATCTCTGTTCACAGAAGCATTTTATATCTGAGTGGACTCTGTGACCCACCTGTGCCTCACAACTTTGTAGCACTTAAAAAACAAAGTTGAATCTTTTTTTATGGTAAACATGCAAAGTAAGTTGTTATCCTACATAAGGACTGTATTTTAACAAACATATGCAGTTATTCTAAAACCACTGTGTGTGTGTGTGTGTGTGTGTGTGTGCGCGCCTGTTGTATGTGTGTGTGTGTGTGTGTGTGTGTGTGTGTGTGTCTTTTAGCCAGCAGGTGGAAGCAGAGACCTGCTTATCAGCATCAGCAAACGTACTGAACTTTTAAAATTCTCTGTTACAAGTGGAAGCCTCTCACTGGCAAATATTCTATTCAATCTTGAACAATACACACAGAAAAGGTCAAATGTGCACACATATCATGAAGCAGGAAAGAGAAACACACAATGTTAAAAATGAGTTAAAAATACAGTTAGAAAGATTTTTGTTGAAATGTTTCTTAAAGAAAATAAATATATAATTGGTAAAAATCTGTGTATCATGTGCTCGCAGGTATATGATGCATGTTTCCATAAAAAAATGACATCATTTACACTAAATCCAGCACACTGGGGAGCCAGGACATTATGTTTTTTCATCATCTTTGCATAAAAAAACTTCCATATAAACATTTAATTGTCAGCAAATAGTTTAATGTTATTCTGAGCTTTTTTGTTGAGTAATTTATTCAAGAATACAACATTTTTTTTAGGTCTTTATAACTTATGGATACAAAAATCTTCTGTAGGTTATGTTTTATTCTCTGCTTGTCTTTCTTTAAACAGCACATCCAGCTGGGGGAGCTGCTGCTTGTTTTTCATTATTTTCCTTAAACTCGTGTTTTGCATTACTTCACACATCACTTCCTCCCTGTGGGTCACCCGGTGTTGACAAGAGTTCCCTCAGTGTGGCGTGACGCAAGAGCTGTGTACACTACAACAAAGATGGCAATTAGAGGGGAATCCGCCACACACTCATTATCCTGTTTCTGTCACTTCAGGGGACGTTCGCTTACATTAAGGTGAATTCTCTTAACCTTATACCTAAACCTTACAGTCATGCATTTATAATATAATATATTAAATATTAAATGTAATGTCTACGTAACAAAAGTTTGTTATGTAGACATGGTTTTGTCTCTGTAATATGTCACAATGTGTGACAATGACTGTGAATTTTTTTTTTCTGATCAAATTCTTAATAAACTAGAAACTAAATTCTCCCCTCTTTTGGTCTTTGCCATTAAATTGATTATATTTCCACCCAGTTCATATTAACAAGGTAATACATATTTAAATGCTTAAAACCCAAAACAAACCATGTAACTATGTAAATTCTTATTCAGAGGAAATATTCACTGTTATGAGTGACAAAAACCCCACATTATTCACAGTTTCCTCATAGTGAAGCTCATCCTGATGACACGCAGAGTAAGGAGGGACCTCTTAGTCTCACATTCATGAGCTTCCTAGTCTATGTGAATTATGTTTCATTTCCAACATAAATCTGCTTGTTCTTATTTATGAGTAAAAAAAATTTTTATATCCAACATATCACTAAAAATCACTGATTTTGTGACTTGGGTGCAACAACTGATCGATGACTCTTCCGGCTGTACAAGATAGAAGTGTATGAGAAAAGGGCCTTACTGCTCACTTGATCTACAACCCCAGCAAACACTTTCCTGATGATGTGCAGGAGGAATTTATGTTTAACTACAATTCCAACATTTGTTGCTGTTGCAATGTTATATGCGTATAAAATATTGCAATTTTGATATTATGTTTTGTCTTGCACTACCATATATCTACTTGTAAGAGTGGTAAATGGACTGATTCTTGTATAGAGCTTTTCTACTCTCCTGGAGTACTCAAAGCGCTGTATACAACATGCCTCATCCACCATTTACACCCACTCATACATGCACTTATAAACTCAAGTGCAATCTAACCAACATTCACACACGGTCACACTTTGATGAACGCATCGGAGAGCCACTTGGGGTTAGTAGCTTACATGCAGACTGGGGAAGTCAAGGATCGAACCACCAACCTTCCAATCAGTAGCTGGTCTGCTCTACCCCTTTAAAACAGTTACAAAATAACAGCTTCCTCATATTTTCTTGGACCCATAGGCAAGAGACAGACTGAAACCGGAGTCCAGGTGATGACAGAAACTCCTGTAAGTCATCCACAGCGAGCAGGAAATGCCAAACAGCTGTTAATAACCACAACTTAGCAGAGCAGAGCCGCCTTCATCTTACTGTCTAAACATTTACTTGCTCTGACTCATGCATGTAAACTTTCCCAAATCTGGCTGTAGGAGCAACTCGGTCCTCCATGCAGTAAAACATTATCGTCATTACTTGTTTGTTTCATCATGAGTTTACTCCTCCCCCTCAAATTTAAGAGTCCATCCAGTGCAAGTCATGCTAATGGCCTCAGCTCGGTCACACAGCTGCAGACAGGAAACACTCACAGTTTCCACAGATAAGACTGATGGGCATGTTTCCTGTACTTTCTAAAGCAAATTCATATTTGCTGCATTTTGGCTCTTTGGCTTGTTGTGTATCTTATTCTTATCACCATCTTGTTAGCCCAAAAAAAATTCCAGCAGCTATTTTTAATGTATGAGTCCCTTTATAATTGCGACAGCTTGGGAAAGTTACGTTTATATAGGCAAATCACTTCATTAAAGGTCAGAATCAGAAATAAAACAATTATTAATGAAATTAATTAAAACAAAAAGTTTTAATTAGAAGGTAATTTTTCACAGAACAAAATTAGTTTTGCGCTTTTTAAACGTTCTTTTGCTCATACATGAACTACAATGACTAAAAATACATTACAAGAAAGAAAAGGAAACAAAGTTAGTTGAGCTCTGTTTAACAACAACATTAGAAACTTGTTAAGTATGACCACATGCTGGTGTCATGCTCGTCAGGTTATCTAACAGATGGTCACAGTCCAGCTCGCTGTCGACTGACACAGTTCTTGTCCTTGTTTCTGGTCCTCGCACAAAGGCAGAATTCATGCTGGAGAGGAACAAATGTTCTTGTTAAATGTACAGTAAAAAAATCCAGTTTCTCAGTAAAACGGTGTATGAACCTAAAAGTGTTTGAATAAATAGACACCGTCAGAGGAGGAATACAAGATGTTTTGTCTAAATCTGCTTTTTCTTAAATGCACCGATTTGTTTTGTTTTCACTCTTTGCACTTTTTCTACATAAAAAAAGACCACCAATCATAGCAGCTTGAAATACAAATCTATGCTATATGTTGTCTGTCTGTAAGTCCTGGAACAAATTTGTGTATGTGGATATGTTCACGCTAATGATAAAATTCAAATTATTTGGACTCAAGTGGACCCTACTCTTTTAATTCAGTCACATCAGCGCAAACACAGCGATTTAAATTGGTCATCTATATCATTAAAACACTAAATGAGAGAAATGTTGATGGTACTTACGTGTACTTTTTACTATTGTAGGGTCGCTACCTTAAAATATAAAGCGCCTTAAAGTGATTGCTGTGCTACATAAATACATTTGAACTGAACTTTGACATGCACCAACCACATAAACTTTCCCAGAAACAT